ACACACACACACACACACACACACACACACACACACACACCTGTCATGATGTTGTGTGATAAATGTGATTTTTTTTGTACATTTTCAAAGCTGGAACTGACTCTGCTCCATTTCTAACATAAGAAATGTGCACTTTTTGTAAGTTGCTGTTTCTTGCTCAAATCATTACAGGTACTTTGCTGAGTAAGAATAAATTTACAGTCAGCATGTTGTTCCCCGTGCTGGTTGTGTTTGATTCACAGCTGTCAGCAGTTTCCCCCATGTGGCCTGAACTTCTTACCGTCCGGTAAAYGCCAGCTCTTCTCCAAGCTCATGCTGCTCTGGCATCTCCTTGTCTTCAGAGAGACCTCCTCCTCCTTCAGCTGTACCATTCATCTGTCCAAGCTCATTCAAGGAAAGGACTGATTTTCTACAGAAAACACACACAAACAAAAGGCGGAGGTAAAAAAAAGGCTTTTCATCCTTGTAAACTTTGATTAGTGCTGGCATGGAGGCATGATTACTTCTTATCTCTCGCTTTCAATCAAGTATTTATTTTGCTTTTAAGCCTGGATCTTTGACGAAACAAGTGGCTTTGCAGATAACCATTGCAGACATGTTGCTCTTTGTGCAAGAACAGCTACGTGAYCTTAGAGAAATACCAACCTTTTGTCAGCCGAGGTGACTTTCTTCGGTGGCTCAATGCGGATTTTAGGATCCCATTCTCCAGGTGGAAGYACAATCACTTCATCTAAAAACTCATCTATGCCAGCTATAAGGTCCTCCCGATCTCTGGCCTTGTAGGCTACATCACTGAAAAGCTGAGAGAAAGAGACAAAGAGAGAGAGAGAGAGAGGCATTTGCTTTTTTAATTTAACTTAGTTTCACAACAACAAACCTGAGACAAACAAAAAAAGCTACAATGGAAGTTTGAAAATAAAAGGCACCATGTATGTAAAATATTCTCCCAACAGTAGTGTTTTGTTCTAAACAAGCTCAAAGCATAATCTCTCAAACAAARCAGTTGCTTGGTTTCTTATCTTGAGTATAAAGAGAAATGGTTTAGATGCCTCTCCCTGGGCTGCCACCTTATTGTGGTGGAGAGGTTTGAGTGTCCCAATGATTCTAGGAGCTATGTTGTCAGGGGCTTCATGTCTCCAGTAGGGTCACCCAAGGCAAACAGGTCATAGGTGAGGGATCAGACAAAGTGCAGCCCAAAGACCCCTATGATGAACACAATAAATGGATTCAGTGTTCCCTCGCCCGGACGCGGGTCACCGGGGCCCCACTCTGGAGCCAGGCCTGGAGGTGGGGCACATTGGCGAGTGCCTGGTGGCCAGACTTTCGCCCATGGAGCCCAGTCGGGCAGAGCCCTAAGAGAAGACGTGGGTCCCCCTTCCCATGGGCTCACCACCTGTGGGAGGGGCCGTAGGGGTTGGGTGCAATGTGTGTTGGGCAGAGGTTGAAGGCGGGGACCTTGGCGGTCCGATCCTTGGCTACAGAAGCTGGCTCTAGGGACGTGGAATGTCACCTCTCTGGTGGGGAAGGAGTCTGAGCTGGTGTGTGAGTTTGAGAGGTTCCGACTGGATATAGTTGGACTCACCTCAACACACTGCTCTGGCTCTGGAACCAGTCTCCTCGAGAGGGGTTGGAC